CCATGTAAGGATAGAGTTGCACAATTGACTAATTATGCCAGGTCGGCATTCATGTATTTCTTGTTAGACAATTGACATAGAGTGCATATCCATAAAACGGTTATTACTAGATTTAAGGCATGATTATATATGGTTAGTGCAAGGATATATCTTATCCTTTACTAATATTTTTAGTTACTAATTTAAAGCAATAATACGAACAGCTGTCCTGGCGCGTACCATATATTGGTTAACGTATGAGAGAATATAAGAGAAATGCATATATTTCAAACCATTAGGTTATGACGAATTAGCCAGGTCAAACTAAAAAAAATGCTGAAATATGGAAATGTTTGTACTATGTGACGATTCTTTAGCCGTAGTTGAATTCCTGTTGTTGTCAATATTGTCCACGGCTGCTGTTGTAAAACCACCAGGATTCGCGGAAGGATCCAGCAATTCAATACTGAATGTTTCATAGATGGAATCTTCTAGAACTGTAGATAAATGGATAATTGGATCATACATAAACGACCAATGTACACTGTACATTTTGACATTTAGAACCTCCTTTACTGGTCCTAGCATCCCATAGAAAGGTCATATACATTAAGAGATAGTTCTTGTTGAGTTGAATGTAGTTTTAAAGAAGAATAAAATAGAAGCAACTTCGAAATGGATAGCGTCGTATTTGCCTCAATGGAATAATTCGACTGCATCTGAATATTTGCCAAAACGATAATCAACTAATGTTTTTGATGACTGTGACCTACATCGTGTCTTTTTGAACTATCTGTATGTGCAGCTTATTCACGTATCGTTGTCATACATGCAGATGGTTGCGGTTGTTTGTTTAATTACAACACCAAAATAATCATTAAACAGAAGATGTAAGCAATTGCCTTGTTAATGGAATGGCAAGCCTCATATACTGCAATTTTGTTTAGATTATTACTATGTCCTCCTCCACCTGATCATAAAGAAAACTGTTCGAGTCGAGAAGTTTTCGTTCTAGTTAAGTGTTGCTTAAATATTGGAATAACGCCAGTATCTATACGTGATCCCTCGTTGTAGACTACATTTCTGCAATAATGGTACCGTAGTTACGACTTTCTATACTTTCTTCACAAATCTTTTGATGTTTGGCTTTAGTATAAAAATTGGGGAATACACTTGGTATCATAGGGCACTTACTGAAGGTACGTCAAAACAAAAAACTTTGTTACCTTATATAAGGGATATTTGTTGATTTTTATATCTTATGGCGGCCATCTTGGAAAAAGCCGCCATTTTGAAATTTCAACTTGGGTCCATAGGTAATACTGTTTGAAGCATCCAGCACTACTAACATTCTAAACTTGAACTTGTATAAGTGATTTTTGTTGTTTTGGATATTTTGAGACGTTGTTGAAATTTCAAGGTGGATCCATAGATAATATTTTTCGATACACCCCGCACTACTGTCATGCCAAATTTGGCCTTGAATTTGACCTTATATAAGTGATATATATTGTTTGAATATTTTATGGCGGCCATCTTGGAAAAAGCCGCCATATTGAAATTGCAGCGTGGGTTCATAGCTAATATTTTTGAAACACCCAGAACTATTACCATGCCAAATTTGGTGCTTTAATCACACATTTATCTGCAAATTTTGAACTATGCTGAAAATAATTATGGATAGGTCACAGATGCACAAATAGATGAGTAATCTCTTAAATATTTTAAAATATGCCTTAAATTTATGAAACATCAAAGTATCACATGGAATCGTTCAACACTCAGCATCAGAAACACACGCTTGATGTCTAAATATAGAAAACTTTGTGTATGTCTAAACTAATTTTATATCGAAAAATGTAGATTGGTAGCTTATGGTATATTTGTTTTTTGACCTGTAATACGTCATTTTATTCACGCTGAGGGTTAGTTAAGAACTAGTTACAACTTTACGAAAAAAGAGATGATGTAAGTTTTCCCATTGTGAACTTTCATTTATGTATAGGAAAATTCCAGCAGCGCTTGCATGTGGAGTATATATCTCTCAGATGATAGGATAGTCTTAGGATTGTGTTTTCGTTCATGGTTTCTTTAATAAAGGGTTTCCAGCTAACAAGGAAACGGTGAACCAAATGTTCCAAACGGTAAAGTTGAAGTCATTCCTACATGGTTGTAATTGGCGCCATCTTGATTTGGCTGAGTCACATGTTCCATTTGTTGTAGCCATAATATTGTCCTCTTTATATTATCTTCTTTGCTACTTCTGCGAACGCATTTTATGATCGTGCGCATCACACATCCGGTAATGTTTGTGTTGTTCAATCATTAGTTTCCGAGGTAGTGATCTGTATATCGGCTTTTCGTTTTCTTTTGGTCATAGTTTTGTCTCTGTTTCTTTAATTTATGACTCTACGACGTGTTTATAAGATTTGCTTATTTACCAAAATACAGCATATTTTCTTTAAAAAAACTTCTTGTACCGTTTTAACATCTAGATATACAATTTCTATATTTCACAGAACAAAGTGAAATATACATTGGAAAAAAAGTAAAACAACAAAAATACCGAACTCAAAGGGATATTCAAAACGGAAAGTCCTTTATAAAATGGCAAAATCAAAAGCTTAAGCACATCTAACAAATGGAAAACAACTGTGATATTCCTGACTTGGTACAGGCATTTCCTTGTGTATAAAATGGTGGATTAAACCTGGTTTTATAGCTAGCTAAACCTCTCTCGTGTATGATAGTCACATACAATTCCATTATATTGACAACAACAAACAGACATAATAGGTAAAAACGTCAAAATTGGGGTACAGCAGTCACCGTTGTAATATAATCTTAATCACTATAAAAACAAATAACTGTTTCAACAAAGAAACAAAAAATGGCATATAGACAAAGTGACAAAATGAAAGACAAGAATTCAAAATTAACCAAAGCACAATAACACAATGGCGGGATGTATAAGTACCGAGCCACGTCAAAAGTATATAACCAAAAATGGACCCAACAGTAAAGGTTTAAAAATATACAAGGACAAATAAAAAGAACACTACAACACGTAATTAAGATGATAAACAAAGTCAGAACCTAGAATCTATACTTCAAGACCATCGTGTATTATTTGTGAAGTTGATACGGAATATTTTTCAACAAGGTCTTGGTATCTTCCAATGAACCTTTTATAATCTAAATGACCACGTTATTACTGGCGAACTGAACATTGTCAATAACTCTTATGTGCGAAATGTGTTATCGATAGGCCCAAAGTATCGGAGCTTAATTTCATCAATTAGAAACAAAACTTTCAAATACTGATGGATTCAGTGGAGGATTATGTCAGGCAATGGGATATCGCGAAAAAGAAGACGTAAATACTCTTTTCGAATGGGCTAAGGCTGTAAGGTCGTTGATATAAATAAGATTCAAAAACTGAATGGTCTACGAATGCACATGCTACATCGATCTTTAAAGACCCAAATGTTGCGAAGACAATTCACTAGGAAACTCAACATATAAACCAACGACACCTACCAAGGAGGAATACTGAATAATCATAGGTCTGTTCTATATTCCTTTGGAATTTCAACAATCAAAGAGGAAGAACTGGATCTTCCTTCACTGTATTGGATACCTAAATTACATAAGCGTGCTTACAAACAACGTCATATTGCTGATTCTTCCAAGTGCTCCACGAAACCTCTAAATTATTTACATCAATTTTATCAGCAATAAAAGCCAGCTTCAAAGTTATTGTGAAATTACCTACCCTAGTGGCGGCGTGAAACAGATGTGGATACTTAAAAATTCGAAAGATCTGTTAAAGTACTTACCATATAAGTCTCTTGCCTCTTGTAATATTATTAAAATATTTGACGTTTCTACCCTTTACACATTCCCCATTCCAAAATAAAAGACAAATTGAAAAAAATGGTCATGCTTTGTTTCATAAAAGAAAATGGCAAACGTAGAAGTACCGTTTCGTAGGGAGGGATGCACGTACTTAATCACTATAAAAACAAATAACTGGTTAAACAAAGAGACAAAAAATGGTATATAGACAAAGTACATAAGGAAAAATGAAAGACAAGAATTCAAAATTGACCATAGGACAATAACACAATGGCGAATGTATAAGTACCAAGCCAGGTAAAATGTAAATATACAAGGACAAATAAAAAGAACACTACAACACGTAATTAACATGATAAATAACGTCAGCACCAAGAATCTATACTTCAAGACCATCATGTATTATTTGTGAAGTTGACACGGAATATTTATCAACTAGGTCTTGGTATCTTCCAATGAACTTTTTTATAAAAAGGACGAGACGTTATTTGTCATAACCTTGGCTCATCAACTTTCTGCTCAGACACTGGTGACGTTTTTATAAAGTCTGAGTAGCAAGCTGTTGAATTCCAAATGAGTTGGGAAATGTATATCCCATATGCAGGTGAAGTTGGTATATTGCTGCTAAGGTGGGGAAAAATTTATAATTTCAAAACAAAATTAAAATCGTCTCGCTTGTCATAGATTCTGGTACTGAGTTGACCGCTCATGTCAAATTCGAATTATAAGTCTAAAAATGAGGCGGAGGAAGCCGTGTCTGTTGTATCTTTAATTTTAGTTCTGGAGAATATATTTATGAAACCCAATCAGAAAAGTTTGGATTGTTAATGGAAAGAACATCATCAATGTATCTGAATGTGAAATTAAATGATCGGGTTTTTTGTTTATCTTTTTTTTTTGCAAGTGTCTGAAGGAACTCCGACTCATATGAAAATAAGAAGAGGTGAATAACGAGGGACAAAAAGATAAAAAAAAATCTAGTAAAGGCACATTATACTAAAGCTACAATTGTTTAACCTTCTTTTTATAAACATTGAATGTTCCGTTGATTCTCGGGGTATGCTATGCATAACTATGACTTTTTCATTAGGATATATATTGATTATAAAGTAGGTTACGTGTTCGCACAACATCGAGGTGTTTTAATATTTATTAAGCAACATTTTTATGTAATAAGAACAGTTTTGTGTTAAAAGTGAAAGTCAAGGTTTATTGTTTTATTTTCGTTTCCTTCCAATACCACAAAACAATCCTGTGCACTGTTTTCCAAGCGATACATCCAATGACAAACAGCCAAGGAGTGCACCTGTTCCTGGAACTTTAGTTCTCACTATAACTGTGTAATCACCCTGTAATATCAAATAGAAAATAATTGTACTGTTCGAAGAAAAGTAACTTTGTTATGCCCTAAAGCCGCAATATGTAAGTTTTTCTATGTTAACTTCGAACACCGTAATAAAGTAGTCAATGCATTAAAAGTCGAAATAAATCGAACAAAACACATATCAATTTTTAAGAAAACTTAAGGACTGCTTTTGGAGTGTTATCATTTTAACATAATGTAAAAAAAAAAACATTTTGCACCGATTTAATACAGTCATAGTATATGCAAATTTAAATTTAGATTTAAAATTTATGAAATAAAAATAAAACAGAAATGCATATTTTATTTTCGATCTTTGGTTGAAGTTTGACATGCTAAAATTGCATTACAAAAGTCTCTCCTTTTTTTTTTTTTTTTTTAGCTTAAACATGATTAATTTATTCAAAGTAAATTAGATTGGACACGAGTAAACCATACTTATGAAGTCGGCTCCGAAGTACAATATATGACAATACAAGGTTAATATTAGTATTCAATACTGCAAAATAAACAATACTTGTCGAGTCTAGATTTTGAAAAAGAATGAAAAAAAAACTGAAAAATTGGTAATGATGATGATGCGAATACACTATTCAATATCATATGACAAGAAATTTCTAAGGCCTTTTGATAAATTCTAATACATGTTCTGATATCTGGAATTTTTGTTCATACGATAGTTTAGGATTATCAGATGTTAGTGACTTGAAATCCAATATAAGGTCATCAGGGAACCATCTAAATTTTTCATCTCTGATATGTATATAAAAGGCAGTCAAAGAGGAAATGGTGTACAGTCTCAATGTTGCACCCACGAAGACAAGATGGTGTAGGCAATTGTATTGACTATGAAATCATGATTCAAGAAAGATGAGGAGCATCTTGATTGAATTAGATTTATATTCAGTTTTCTCGGTTCATGTTCATTGTTCTTATGTAAATATTTATTTGTAGTATTTACCCTATTTAATTGGATATTAAATTTTCCGATAGAATCTGCTTTTCGGAGAGACAAATCAGTATTATTCCATAGTCTTATAGATGATGGTGTAACATATTCTTTGGTATGGGATATTCTATAAAAAGGGACGATAATATCATTGACATTTCGCAAAGGATATACAGTGTGTTCTGTATAAAAAGGTGGAACAAGATTGCATAGATAATCCGGAGCATGTTTATGTTAAATGTTATATAAAAATTGATAATTTCGTCTTCTCCCCCTGTCAATTAATGTTTCCCATCCAGCTTCCTCATTCAGACTTGCTGTAAACTTTCTAGATTGTTAGCATATCCTATATATAAAAGTCTCTATGAAAAAGTATAACAAAAATTCTGAACTCCAAGACAAAATCAAACGCATATCAATCGTCGGAACAAGTGAAAAACAACTGCCATATTTATGACTTGGTACAGGCGTTTTTCGAAAAAAAATATGGTGGGTCAAACATGGTTTTATAGCTAAACCTCCCACTTGTATGACAGTTGTTTATAGTTCTGTTTATTGACAAGATTGGAGAAGCAACCCAAACAGACATAAATGGTTCATGTAACAATAATTGGAATCCTGCAGCCAAAATTGTGTAAACATACATCATGAAAAGGCTGCTATGTTTTCTGAGATTACTTTCTCAAAAACAAATGATACAAAGAGATGAGAATTAAAAAACTGCATTTTATCCAAACAAATTATTCTATTTGAACAGAAATAATAATAACAATTGACATAATTTATGTTTAATTGCTGTGACATTTTTATTTGTTAATTTCGGTTAATATAAATGTTTATCTGTTTGGACAATTGTAAATAGTACTTATAATTAAAATACTTACGTCTCCAATAACATGTGCAATTGGACCGAGATCTGGAACATTTATCGTGTAGTCTTGTACATTTATATTCTCAACTGGTATTGGACATTTTAGTGTTGCGTTGACAGATTCTATCATTTTCAAAGCCTGCTGTGCTACACTTTGTGCACTAGTTCTTGTAGAGTTTAATAAACTATCAACAAATGAACATCCATCAAAGACACTATAAAATATGAAATTAATGCTATAATTATTAAAAACAATTTGTAATTGCAATCGTTGCATTAATTGCAGTTTGACCTAGATAAAAAGTATTAAGTTTTTAATAAAACGCATTCAATTATTTTTAATTTGAATAATTATGTCATTTGAGTGATCTAATTGTATTGTTTATAACAATCTTATTTTCTTAAAGATGCCACTGTACATAGTACATAAAATTGAGAATGAAAACGAGTCAACAACCCAACCAAAGAGCAGAAAACAGCCGAAGGCCACCAATGGGTCTTCAACACAGCGAGAACATCCCGCACCCTGAGGCGGGCCTCAGCTGGCCCCTTATTAAATGTATACTAGTTCTGCGAAAATGGACGTCACACTAAACTCCGAAACATATAAATGAACCAAAATTAAAAAAAAAAACGTACAAAACTAACAAAGGCCAGAGGTTCCTGACTTCGGACAGGCGCAAATATGCAGCGGGGTTAAACATGGTTTGTGAGATTTCAACCCGCCCCTATACCTCTAGCCAATGTGGAATAAAAAAATTTTAAAAATGTATAGTCATTAAATCGTTTAATGCTCGCCGATCATATTCGGGTGAATGTGGCATAATTATCGCAAACATATTTTCCTAAATGCTTCATGTTTCTTCAACTATTTTTGACACTGGAAGAACTAACTCACCGGCTTTGCTCACTTGTTCATAAAACGTGTGTGGCGTAACAAAAAGGATACGCTTACCCTTACGGAAAGCTTATTTTGCTGCGTGTTTTGATGGGATTGCCAAAAAGTTTACTTTTTCTGTTTTAGAATAATTATGTCCGATATGTTTTGTTTTAACACATGTTTCGTTGTTTTGCGGTTTGCTCCATTCTCGTATTTTCAAATGAAATTAGACCTTTGTAACCCCTCTTATATAGCCGATTCTGTATTATCGTTTTCTAATTTATATATAAAAATAAAAGAAAAGAGTTCCAATGTCCCCCGCGTTCCACATATTTTATCTATCCAAGGCACAAGGGCAATAACTAAAAAATACACTTTCTTTAAAATCGTTCATATTTCATCAGCACTTATTTTCGTTAGAGTCAAAGACATTGCTGATATACACCGATGATATAAGTTTTATAAAATTCTGGCAAGAATTGTACACATGAGAGCACTCACAAGGCAATTTTCCATATAATTAATATTTCCAAGGGGCATAACTATTTTAAAAATAATTGATCGATAATTATTTTTGAACTCGTCTGAGTCATTACTGATATAAACTTACAATATAAGTTTCATAAAAATCTGGCAAGAATTGTACACATGAGAGCGCTAACGATGCAATTTTCCATATAATGAATGTTCCAAGGGCATAACTCTTTTAAAAAAAGGTTCATCGGCACTGATTTTCGAACTCGTCCTAGACATTGCTGATATAAATCTATGATGTAAGTTTTATAAAAACCTTGAAAGAATTGTACAAATGAGAGCGCTTACGATTCAAATTTTCATATAATTTATGTTTCCAAGGGGCATAACTCTTTTAAAAATAGTTCATCGGCACTGATTTTCGAACTCGTTCGAGACATTACTGATATAAACCTACAATATAAGTTTCATAAAAGACTGGCAAGAATTGTACACATGACAGCACTAACGATGCAATTTTCAATATAATTAATGTTTCCAAGGGACATAACTCTTTTAAAAAAAGTTCATCTGCACTGATTTTCGAACTCTTCCGAGACATTGCTGATATAAACATATGATATAAGTTTCATAAAGATCTGCCAAGAATTGTACATATGAGAAAGCTAACAAGACCGGACGGACGCACGGACGAATAGACGGACGGATGGACGCCCGGGGTTTCTATGTTCCTCCGCAACGCGTTGCGCGGGGGACAAAAACAACGGTGTTAAAGAATCGAAGTAATGATTATACAAACCAGCTTCCTACACCATTAACACAAGGGACGGTTATTCTAGTTCCAAGAAACCCATGTCTCTTCATATCAAATTCTATCATAAAGATTGGTATTGGTTTTAAGACTTTGCCAGAAAATGTTAGATGGAGAGGTCCTGGAGCAACAAGTGGAACTGGACCGGCAGTAATTGACGTCACCTGGATGGCCTGTGCAGACTTATCTATACCTATGATATAAGCAAATGGAAATAATTCATTCTATTTGCTATCGATCTTTGAAAATAATGCCACTTATACAAATTTTTAAACATTTTTTCTGATTAACATCATTTACCGCTTTGGTAAAGTAGTCATTCATGGTGTCGGGTAGGATAGTTTATTTAAGGTAATTAACACATTTGTATATACCTTTAATTAAAAGCAATTATAAAAACGAACAGCTCACATCAAATTAATTTCCTAATTTTGTAGCCCTATATTTTCCGTTGATAGATAACATCAGCTATGCGGTAAGGAACTGGGTTGCTATAAACTTATATTTCATATCATACAAGAACGACTTTTAAATATGAATTTGTCCTTAATACAATTGTTTATGTTAGATGCAATGCATATTTCATTCGACGTTGAATTACCAACAGCTTAACAGTTTATTCTCATTTTATTTATTAATTATTTGTCGTTATTTTTCAAGTTTATCCTTCATACCAAAAACACATATTTGTACAAGAAACATCTGATATAACCATGATATTTGAAAGTTAGTACCTTCTTTAAAAACATTTCATTTGTACTTAAATTATTTCAATCTTAAACCACATAAAACAAAATAACCATCATAAATTACAGAATACTTACTACAATCTCGCCATTTAAATGGTATTGTCCCATAAGCTGAAACTATAACTGTTATAAATATAAGTAGAGAGTATGCATACATTGTTACTGTGGATATAATAACCGTTACCAAACTAATTACAACTTATAATGATGAAAGGTAACGCTGCTTGAATCTTTTTATACAAAAAATATAAAGGAAGTATTGATCTACTTTAGTAAAACAATCTGGGTGCTTAAGAAATGCAATTTCAAGTAGAACGGTACAAAGTTTACTTGTCTACGCATTTATCATTATTCAATCATTCTTTTACCATGACATCTCTTTTTGGAAGAATACTTCTATTGTGTCGGCTATAGCCACTGTAAGATATTGGTATAACTAAAAGGGAACTAAATGTATAGCAAACATCAATTTAATGTCTAATTTGACTCCGGGATTTTAATTATTTGGCTATAATTGATTCTCAAGCGTTAAAGTAATATATATATAATACTAATTATAAATAGTTAACGATTTTCCAGAATAAAACATCATAATAATGGAGATATTTTGTACATAAAAAGAAATAAGAATTCATTTTGTACCTGAAATTGTTTAGAAGAGATATATGTTAAACATCAATATTTTTCATAACCGTTACCCGCCAATACAGGGCAAACACATATGAATATTCAGAGGTAACCATATATGTGTTCACATTAACCATTCACACTTGGTGCAGAATTGGCTAATTTAGCATTGAAATATCTACCATCTGATATTCAGAAGCAGAACGTCGCTGTTTAAAGGAAAATTACGGCCTTTTTTGTTTGTGTTTTTTTTTTTCTTTTAAATTTTTTTTCTTTTCAGGGATTTACTTAATAGCAGTTATTCAAAATTTATTAATTATGTCATTAAGTAAACAGATTTAATACATAACTTTGGTATAATTCTAACATTTTCATAATTCAGTGTCCATAACAGTATTACCAAGTTCAAATGACCGAGTTTAGTGCAAACGTTCGTCAAAATTACCTCGAACAAAGTCCAATGTCCCATAAAAAAAAACAAGATAAAAGTACAATGTCATTGAACGACTTTAAGAAGACGCATTTTTAACAATCTTAGTAGATAAGACAAGTTTCGTGTCAATATATCTGAAAATATTTTACAATGATATCATTGTTATCGTTAAATTTAATTGAAACATGTTTTGTGTCAGTTAGTTTGAACGTTATCGCTAGATGTCTTTCTTTGGAAATTGGCAAAGATGTAAAAGAATATGAAAAGGCCTTTCAATTGGCCTTTCAAGTTTTTTTTTTTCGATCGCAACTGATGATTCTTATGTAGCATATTATCCTAAATGAGTTTTTATTTCTGAACACATGTCCTTTGTCATGAACACATATTTTAAGACAAAACAGTTAAGAAATTTTGATGCAATGAGTACTAAATCATATGCAACATGAGCAATTTATGCAAAACGTAAATAATATTAATTTGCAAAATAACAACGAATTTGCTAAAAAGGTTTAAAAAAGGTTTAAAAAACCAAACTAAAGCGCATTTCACTTTGTTTTCAGGAAAGAATGAAAAGTGTTTTGATTTTCCTGTTAATGTTATTCTTCACTGTATTCATTAAGTAATTTCCTGAAATGACTCGAAAATCATATTTTGAAAAGAGACAAGTTGCTTGAAAGGGAGTGGTAAAAATACCACTAACGTGACGTTTGTTTTGAAGTTCGTTCTTATTGATCAGTAAAAAGGCGATCCAAATAATTTTCCAAAGGATTAACAACATGCATGATGTTAATAAATAGCTATCAGCATCAGAAATACCTATTGAGTATTCAAATCGTATTATTTTTCTTCCTTTACGGAGATTGTGAATATTATAATAGCATTCCTATCTCAGTTCTGTTTCAATTTATGCTATTATTTACCAGAGACAAGAACCACAAGAACAATTGTAATGAAAAATTAGTTCTGAGTTATGCCGCTTGATCTGACGAAACTTCTACCACCAACTTCTTTTCTTCGACAAACGTATGTTTACAGAATCTAAACCTCTGTTAGTACAGGATTCATCATTTAGCCAGCCTTGATTACATTAAACATACGAAAATTACTTATTCCTATTTCCATGTGTTTGGCGTGTTTTAAATTTTCTATGAGAATGCCTTCAGTATGAGATATTTTAACATTTTCATACATAAGAATGTTAAAATATACAATTATTTACCACGTGTTGGAAAAAGGCTTGATAATTTGTTGATATTCAGTGTTCGTTTGTCTTACTAGTCTTACATGCGAAATAAAAAAACTGACTTTCCCAAATTTCAACATATTAGAAACGATTTTCTTTCGTTCTATATTAGTCGTCCTTACTTTTGCAAAGACTAAACAATGAAACAAGTATTTGAACATCCATTGCAACACTTTCAGGCAACGAATAACTGTATTTAATTTAGAGGCAACAGAAGTTTACCGATGCTCAAATCTCATAAATTCATTCAGAAAAAACAAATCAAAGTTAAAAGATACTGAAGGAATCGCAAACTCTACAAAGAACCAGTCCGGGAGTCGACATGATAAACGTCTACTGCTATTCATGCATTACCCGCCATGTAAACCCACATTGTTCGTTGTCCATGGTCCATAGTCTGCTTAAAATACAGTATAGTTTTAGCAGGTGTAGTTCTCACTTATGAATACTATGTGCTAGAATAGCTTTATTTAGTGTACGAGGTCCTAGCAATGTCTACATGTCCGTTTTAGTAGGGTTCATCCATCGTTGACCTCATTTAATGCATTAGAGTTCAGGTTTAAGATTTCGTCATAAGATCTACATCTCAGGTATTATAAGCAGAAGATCAACATTGTGTGCTGTATGAAGTGATGGTAAGGTGTACATGTCCTTCCGGCAGGTTTCATCTGACCTAGACCTAATTTTCATGATTCCTTTCTCAAAGTTATGTTTTCATGTCTGTCATTTCTCTGATACTTTGACTAGCAGACCAACTATACTTGGTGTATGGAATGAGTATTAGGTGTGATAGTGTTATTTTATAGCTCATTGGTCAATTTTGAGTTTATTCGTCACATAAGTTTTATTGCTAATTGGTCAATGTTAAGCTTTTTTTTTGTTTTTGTTAGGTCTGTTTCTATGGATCTAAGTTACGATAAGAAAAGAATATTTGGTGTATGGGATAGCGGTTGATTTGGATGTTTGTATTTATTTTTGAGATTTCATAACTTCTTTAAATATCAAAATTTGAAAGAAAAGAAAAGGAGACGAAAACATTCTTTCGCAATAGTTTTCTTGGTTCAGCTAATTTACAAAAACAAACGAATTCCTATCAACACGAAATATTTCTTTAATTGTAATAGGAATGCATTTTGTAACATGGAATTTAATTAAAATATGTCCTTTATGATATTGAGATATGTATGTATTATAAGAGATAACACATGTTGCTTCTGTCGGTTAACCGTAAATTAGAAATGCAAATAAAATCTTTAAGATAGAATAAATAATGAAAATTAATATAAAACTAAGATATAATGAAATTATGAATTAATAGTGTGCTGAATTGAACCCTGGTAACAGATGTCCAAATTAACATGAGAAACTACGTTTGAAGTGTAAATGAAGTTTAAATTATTGGATTAATGTTCTAAAATAAATAATAATAAATCAAGCTTATCGGTACTGGCGCAGCCTATAATGTCCACCATCTACGACCTCTGGCAACAGACGGTCATAACATCATCTTTTATCAGTGCATTATAATTGTCAATACATTATCATTTCACCAGATGGAAGTCGTAGATCAGTTAATATGTTTCTATAAACACAGACGAAAATTTGTACAAGCAGATGCTGTGACTGTTTTTTTTTTATGTTGAAGTATATATACAGAGAACACACATAAATCTGTCAAATAAAAACAAAATCAGCAGTATCGAAAATAAAGGGAGAGGAAGGTTGGATATTAAGTAATCATGTGTATAATAAATTAACTCAATAATCTGACCTTAATTCAATATAAATCATTGAACATAGCATTTGTAAAAAAATGTGAGGAGTGCAAGAGCAGTTAATTTGATTTGTTTGTAGTTTAATCAATTTAGACTTGGGCGTCTGCTTTAACCTGCTAATGAACTATTGCTGGTCTTCCTCTGAAAACGCGATTTAATGGTCGAACCCTTTAAATCAAATTATAAACATGAATTTTCGTCAGTGAAAATGAAAAATTCTTTAAGCATAAGGGATATTTATAGTAATTAAAAACGAATATATATTCATTTACAATTTTGCCATAATAAAATTTAGAATGGAAATGGGGAATGTGTCAAAGAGTCAACAACCATACCAAAGAGCAGAAAACAGCCCAAGGCCACCAATGGGTCTTAAACACAACGAAAAAATATCGCACCCGGAGGCGGGCTTAAGCTGGCCCCTAAAAAAATGTGTACTAGTTCAGTGAAAATGGACGTCACACTACACTCCGAAACATATAAATGAACTTAAATTAAAAAAAACCATACAAGACCAACAAAGGCTAGAGGCTCTTGACTTAGGACATGCATTTCGTTTACAAAAGAAAATATCGCTACTCTATATAAGAAACGGGTTTTTCCATTCGCATTTTCCATAGACTGCGTATAAAAAATATGACTCAACTGCAGATGTTGGTTAACTTTTAATTCATAGATTATTTTCTTTAGTCATACTTATATTGTTGCGTATTTTATTTACATTATATAGTAAATGCATATTTTTAAGCACAAATTCGATTTTCGTTTGTGTTATGAAAAACCCTTATCGAACAAACCTGAAGAGACAAATAGTTATTTGTTTGCAGTAATAAATAATAACTGGCGATTCAAAATGTATACTTAAGTATACGTCATTGCAGAAAATCATTTATTTAAAAGAAATGCAAATAGCAACGCAAATGAATAAAGAATAAACAGAAAATCTGCGTTCTGAACTATAATGTTTCCTAAAAAACATTGTCAGAAATATAGACTGTGTAATACAAACTTTTGTTTTGCACATGATCCGTGTACGAGATTGTAAATACGGTATCGAAAGGAACCTGATGTTCAGTGGTTGTCGTTTGTTGATGTGGTTCATA